ATGGGTGTGTCAGAGGCGGTGCGGTTGGCGCAGGATAGAGCAGGGTTTAGGGCTGTTGTGCATAGGGTCGCTATGAGTCGGAAACGACTCGAAAGCACATAACAACAACAACAAATCAGGTTGAACTTGTAGATGAGTAATTGGTGGTCTGTTCCATAATCAGTACCTAGCCTAGTTTTTCACAGCTGATATTGAGCTCCTCCAGAGATTCTTTCCACAGATGTAATCAGTATGATTCCTATGCAAACCATCAGGTGAAATCCATGTGTATAGTCTGCATTTGTGTTTGTTATAAAATGTATTTGAAATGAATAAGTCCTTGATTGTGCAAAATTCTATCATTCTATCTGCAGCTTCATTTCTGTCACCAAGTCCATGTTTTCCAACTGCTGATCCTTCTTCTCGATTTCCAACTTTTGCATTCCAGTCACCCATTATTATTAATGCATCTTGATTGCATGTTTGATCAATCTCTGACTGCAAAAGTTGGTAGAAATCTTCTATTTCCCCCTCTTTGGCTCGCTGGTTGTTGGTGCATATATTTGAATGATGGTGGTATTCGGTGGACTTCCTTCTATGTGTATGGATATTATCCTATCACTCACAACATTGTATTTCAAGATGGATCTAGAAATGACTTTTTTAACTATGAAAGCAATTCCATTTTTCCTCACTTTCTCGTCTCCAGTATAGTAGATCATATGATCATCTGACTCAAAATGTCCCATGCCAGTCACCTTATTTCACCAATACCTAGTATGCCAATATTTATGCATTCCATTTCCTTCTTAACAATATCTAGTTTTCCTACATTCATGGTTCTAACATTCCATGTTCCAATCACTAGTGTCTGCTTATAGCTGTTCCTCCTTCTATTTGTTCCCATACTTGAGGGCTCAGCCTCAGTTGCCATCTCTGCTAATCTAAGTGTGCTCTGTTAAAACCACAATATAATAAACATGACCCAAAACAGAAAAAGAATTTCCTCCAAGATAACTGAGTAGATGCAGAAAAGCAGGAGGCTGTCATGCCTGTCCATTCTCCAGAAATAATTTGTGTTTCATCTAGACATAGAGCAGGATTTTCACAATGGCATCTTCTTTTTGATAGGATAAGAGAAACAAAGAAAAAATAGTCACAATAGTGTGGAAGAGACACAGGGATCTAATCCAAGCACCAGATAAATCAGCAGCTGTTTGTCCCTGATTGATCTTTCAGCAGTGACCAATGAAGCACTTGCCTAAACAGATCTCTTTAGAGAATAGAAGCTTTAATATAGGTTCACCACATTTACATAGAGGCTGCTCCACATCCCCTCCTAAATTAACAATTTTGCCAGACCAAGGGAATAAAGCCTCTACTGGCTTTATCCTTTAGCTGGCTATCTTGTATTAGAAAAAAATTATTTTTTTTCTTTTCTCTTGTTTCTAATTTTATTTTTATTTTTTAATTAATTTTAATGAACATTTAGAGATTTTGGATTTCCATATATTCATTTTTTCATTTTTCTCCCTTCCCACCCCTCCCTCCCAGTTCGCACTTCTCTTTGAAAAGTAAAATTATTTCACTGGTATAGAAAACCCCACCACCACCTCTGAGTACACTCCACTACATTCTTGAAGTTTGCATCTTTTGTTTAAACCTCCTTTACCATCTCTACTACAATACTGTATCAATAAAGACTTTGCTGACCAGTTGGCATTCAAATCTTATATCAAAGACTTTATCAATGATTATTTGCAAAACAATCAGTCTGACTGAACAGTTTAAGGAATTAGGGGAATGGAAAGCTTTAACTGATTTTTTAATATACACTGTTGAGTTTTCAATGACCTTGGACTTGGATAGGAATTGATCACAATCTCTCCCATTTTCCATCTTTCTTATTACTTTTACACAATATGCTGAATAAAAAAATTTTCCTTACAACAGTAACAATTATGTTAATATCTCCCCCTCAACCCAGACTTCCAACTGTAGAAAAACAATTAAAAGTATATCCCTGCTTGGCCCATCTTTGAAGAAAAAAAAACAAAACTAACCCACATAAAACATTCCTACCTCACTCTTTACAGAGATGGGCTTTGAAATCTGCTCTGCTGTTCACCACAATTTACTAGACTAACACAGTCTGTGAACTACCAGAAAAAAGCAACAGGACCTTTCTCCTCAGCATAGCTTGATATTTCTCAGAAAACCCAAATTATTTTAATCGATATCACCAATTCTACCAATCTGTGACATAACAGCAGTATCTCATCACTAGGGTTGTGATGATACATGATTCAACCCTTTTTAAAAACTATGTTAAACAAAATATAAGGAGCTCTAGTGGCAGAGTCCATTGCACATTGTGTTGCTAACCAAACGGTCACACATTTCCAGTGGTTCAAATCCACAAAAGGCTCTGAGGAAGGAAGCTGGGCAGTCTCCTCCATTATGGTCTTGGAAAACTAAACAGAAGGTCACTAAAAATCAGAGACACCTTCACAGCAGTGAGTTCAAGTAGTTTTTACCCCAATACATTCTGGATTCTTGTCTCTCTTTTCAAGTGTGGTCAACTGTTTTAACCTCAGTCGGCAGGCTAAGGACTCAAAGAGCACAAGCCCCTTTCCCTACTCCATCCTACAATTCATTATTGTGGATTCTCTCATTCCTCTGAAGGATACACAAATGCATTAAGAAGGCAGCTGTCACAAGTATCTCTTTGTAAGCCCATCTTTAAAACCTACTTATCCAAAGCAAATTTTATGTGATAATCAACTTTTGAGGGAGAAAAACACTTGACCCTAAGAAATAGCCCTCACCAAAATTACTTCACCACCAATACTGTGCAGCACAGAACACAACCTCCAGGGCATTCTGATTTTAAGTACGTTCAGGAACAAAACCGAAACTAAAAGAGTATGATAAAAGAATTAGAGGGGTAGCAAGCAAAGAATTCTTTTACATGCAAGGTCAACTGTGCCTTAAACTCCCATAGCAGAGGATGGCAAATTTTTGTATAAATGCTTTAGGCTTTGTGGGCCATATAGTCTGTTCTACCCACTCAGTCAGTCATTGTAACCACAGACAAGCCATAGACAGTAAGTAAATAGAGAAGTGAAGCTGTGTTCCTATAAAAAGTACAAAAATTTGTTGGCCAGTAGATGTAATTTAAGAGCTATAGTTTCTTTATAAAAGTAAAACCTCCCAAGACAAAAGGGAAAAAAAAATCACATGGCAGTCATTCAGACTGACACCTGATAAATACAGACTCACCTTGACAAGAACAGCTGCAACAATACCCAGGAAGGCGAACAACAGAAGACCAAATTTTCCTTTGTTAAATCGTTTCAGAAGGAAAAATTTTGCCCAGTCTACCTTTGACTGGCTGTTAGGAGGATATCTGAGTTTATTAGCACCTTCCCTCTTTAAACTTTTTAACAAACAGGAACGCTGATGAGAGAATGTATCAAAACTATGTTTTCCATGATAAGCTCCTATTCCACTTGAACCTGCAATAAAGGGAGAAGAGGGAAAAATATAGGTTATGATGAGGTTTTGGGTAATGAAAGAGCTGACGCACCCAGCTACTAACTGCAAAGCTGTAGTGTGAGTCCACCCAAGGTGCCTTGGAAGACAGGCAGGTCTGGAGGAAGCCAGGAGGAGGTCACTGCAACAGATGCCAGCTCCACGTGAGGGTAGGGATCCACAAGTTGCTGTGTGGGAGAACCAGGCACAATTTCCTCATATATATTTTACTGCTTCTGAAAACCTGCTGGCAGGTCAGCTAGCGGTCAATTCTCCCTCAATTGTAAACAACAACAGAGGGGATATGCAGACAAGGGTCCAAGGAAGGAGGAACATTAACTAGGTCAGCAACAACTGCCACCACACTACAACCCTGGGCAAATGGACACACACTCCACAGTTCTGTGTTTGAAATGGGTTTAATGACTGGGGAAGGGCAGCAAACTGCTGTGACCCTGAAGAATCACCAGGTAATAAAGAGTTGCCTTTCACCACCAATCAGCAAAGCCACATTAATTACATAGGAAAAAGTGTTAAGATTAGGGAAAAGATCCCATAAATACCGGAATGTTGACCTAGACAAGGTTCCTTCTCACCTATGAAAGGGAACATTATGATGCAAGTGTTGAGTTTGAGTCTTCTCAACACTGACCAAGAAAATTCACAAGTATTCTTTGTGGAGATGTCTCTATTTCATTTCTCTGGAAAGGGAAATATCTCTTTTCAGAAACTCCATACTAGCATTTCCCAGCAAAAGGCATCTCCTTAACATACAAAACACATACTAAGAGAACATATATAAGGGTTTGAAGCTCATCTGGGGTAGTGATGATTTGTAGTGGGACTTTATTAAAAGTTTAAAGCATTATCTAATTAAATTCTTCTTATTGTTAGGTGCTATTGAGTCAATTACAATCCATAGTAACTGGATGAAAACATCTGAACTTTGCTTTAACCTGCACCATCCTCATGATCTCTGTCATGCTTAAGTTTACTGTGGTGTTCACCATGTCAATCCATTCTTGTGGAGGGTCTTCCTTTCTTTCACTGACTCACTATCTCTTCCAGCATGATGTCTCTCTAATGACTGGGTCTTCCTGAAAATACACCCAAAATAAGTGAGATGAAGAATCACCATCCTTGCCTCTGAGAATTCTCTTGTTTGTCTTCCTTTAGGACAGATTTGTTTGTTCTTTTGGTTGTTGTTGTTGTTGATTGCTGTCAAGTCAAGCACGACTCATAGCAACCCTATGAACAAAAAACCTGAAACCTTTCTATAATTATTGTCATTTATTAAAGGTCATAGTTTCCGGAGACATGTTTAGGAAGCGGATGCCACTCCTGCATCCATAGTATATTCCTGTTCTTCTCCTATACCACAATTCAAATTCTTTTTTTAAAAAAAATTAATTTTAATGATAGTTTAATGACTTAGGGTTTCCATTCATTCATTCATTGTTGTTCTTTTCTCCCTGTCCACCCACTCCCCCCAATTCACTCTTCTCTTTGAAAAGTAAAAGAAAACTTTTTTCACAGTTATACAATTCCTCCCCGAAGTCCACTCCACTGTGCTGCCTTCATTTTGGACTCCTGTTATGACAATACTTAATCATATATCCCTTTTAAGCAGTTCTCTCCCTCATCTGGTTTCAATGCAGTATACATTATTTATCCCCTTTCTCAGTCTTCCTTCAATCCCGATGTCAGTCCTGTTTTACAACAGTTGCCCTATGCAACATTTGTCCTTTTGTGACTGAGATATTTCACTCAGCATAATGTCCTCCAGGGTCATCCATTTTGTATAATATTTCATGAGTTCCTTGTTTTTCAACGCAGCACTGTATTCCATTGTGTGGATATAGCAGGGCTTCTCCATTCGTTTGTTGATGGGCACTTGGGTTGTTTCCAGCTCTTTGCTATTACTGTGAACAAAGCTGCAATAAACATAAGTGTACATATATCTGCTTGGGTGGCGGTTATGGTTTCTTTAGGGTATATTCCCAGTAGCGGAACTGCTGGATCAAACGGTATTTCTATTTTCAACTTTTTGAGAGAGTGCCATACAGCCTTCCATAGTGGTTGCACCATTTTACTCTCCCACCAACAGTAAAACAGTTCCAGTTTCTCTGCAACCTCACCAGCACTTGATGTTTGTTTGCTGTTCTGTTAAATTTTGTAATTCTTACTGGGGTGAGATGATATCTCATAGTTGTTTTGATTTGCATCTCTCTTAGAGCTAGGAATTTTGAACATTTCTTCATGTGTTTGTTGGCCATCTTTTTTTATTTTTATTTTATTTATTTTTTGTTGTTGTTGGCCATCTTAATGTCTTCATTGGTGAAGTGTCTGTTCACGTCCTGTGCCCATTTTTTAATTGGGTTCTTTACCTTTATCTTGTGGTGCTTGAGTATTTTATAACTTCTAGATATAAGTTTCTTGTCTGACATGTCATTACCAAATATTTTTTCCCAATCTGTGACTTCCCTTTTTACCCTGTTGGAGAAGATTTTGGATGTGCATAGGGATTTGATTCTTAGAAGGTACCCTTCATCTATTTTATCCTCTTCTGGTTGTAAAGCAATGATTATTCTGTAATCCTTACTCGTTGTTCAACTTTCAGATGCATAAAAAGCAACTGAAAAATACCATAGTTTGGATCTGGTTTTCCTTACTTTTGAAATTGACATTCTTGCTCCTTAGCACTTTAGAGATATCTTTGATAGCACATTTCCCCAGTGCAACATGTCTTTTGATTTCCTGACTGCGGCCACCATGGGTACTGACTGTGGATCCCAAGAAAAGGAAATTGTTGACGACTACAATCTTTTTTCCATCTATCATGATACTGCTTACAGGTCCAGTCATGAGTTTTGTTTTCTTCTTGTTGAGATGTAACCCATATGGAAGGTTGTAATCTCTGATCTTCTGCAGGAAGTATTTTAGGTCTTCACTTTCTGCAAGCAAGGTTAGCATAATGTAGCTTTGAATTACTTGCTCAGCTTATAGACTGAATAGGTATAGAGAAAGTATACAATCCTAACTCACACTTTACCTGATTTTATACCATGCAGCCTTTCCTTTTTCTGTTTAGATAACTGCTTCTTGGTCTATGAAATGAGTTTTTTTTAAGCACAATTAAGTGTTTTGGAATTCTCATTCTTCTCAAAATTAGCCATAATTTGTTATAATCCATACTGTCAAATGCCTTTGCAACACAAGTAAACATCTTCCTGGTATTCTCTGCTTTCAGTCAAGACCCACCTGACATCAGCAATGACATCTCTGGTAACATGCTTCTTCTGAATCCAGCTTGAATTTCTGGTAGTCCCCTGTCATTACACTGTTGAAGTAGGTTTTGAGTAATCCTCAGCAAGAGTGCATGTGATACTAATAATACTGTTCAAAACTTTCAACATTCTGTTGAATCACGTTTTTTGGGAATGGGAGCAAATATGAATCTCTTCTAATCAGCTGGCTTAGCTGTCTTCCATATCAGTTGGCTGAGACCAGTGAGCACGTTTGGGGTTGCATCTTTTTCTAAAGTAACTCAATTGGTATTCATCAATTTCTAGGGCCTTAGCTTTAGCCAATATCTTCAGTACAATTTCACCTTCTCTTTCACAGAGTGATTATGTGTAGTTCTGCCATCTTTTTTTTTAAAATTTTATTTATTTTTTAACAAAAGTTTACATAAAAGTTGGATTTTCATTCATTCATTGTTGCACATTTTCCTCCATTTAAAAAAAAATCATTCAATATTGCATCATTTCTTCCCTCTCCCCCCGCCTCGCTCATCCACTTTGCTATGCACCTTTAATTCTGCACTTTGTTGATTTTATGAGTTTCTTGTTTTTCAGTGCTGCACAGTATTCAATGATGTGAATACAATATAGTTTTCTATCCATTAATTTGTTGATGGACACTTGGGTTACTTCCATCTCTTTGCTACTGTGAACATCATGGCAATAAACATGGGTGTGTATGTATCTGTTTGGGTGGCCACTCTGGTTTCTTTAGGGTATATTCCCAGTAGGGGAATTGCTACACTAAGCGGTATTTTTATTTCCAACTCTTTGAGAAAGCACCATACTGCCATTCATAGTGGTCGCATCATTTAACACTCCCACCATCAATAAATAGGGGTTCCAATCTCTCTACAACCTCTCCAGCATTTGTTGTCTGCAGCTCTGTTCAACTTCGAGATGGTATCTCATAGTTGTTTTGATTTGTATCTCTCTTAGAGCTAGGAATTTTGAACATTTCTTTGTGTGTGTATTTGCCATCTGAATATCTTCTTTGGTAAAGTATCTATACATATCCTGGCCCCACTTTATGATTGTTTACCTTTTTCATGTTGAGGTGCTGAAATATTCTATAAATTATAGATATGAGTCTCTTATCAAACATGTCATTACCAAATATTTTTTCCCAGTCTGTGGTTTCCCTTTTTACTCTGTTGGAGAATTTTTTTGACATGCATAAGAGTTTCTTTTCATTTTCCCTTCTTTTTTAAATTGGATTTCCATTTATTGTTGCACATTTTCCTATCAGCCCCCCATGTGCACTTTTCTCTTTTTCCCTCCCTCTGTTCCCTTCCATTCCGTTTCGTTCCCTTTCCCTTCCTTTCTTCTTTTTCTCTTTAAAAAGATTCTTTCATTGTTGCACAATTTCTTAGAAGGTCTCATTCATCTATTTTATTCTCTTCTGGTTGTAGGTTTTTCCAGATGCTTGGAAGACTGCTCCTATGTGGTTAGGGTTTTTGGAGTTCTTCCAAGCTTTAATCTGAAGTGTATAGTCTTTGCTTTTATTCCTAGATCCTTGATCCACTTTATGTTGGGTTTTATGTGTGATGTGAGGTGTGGGTCTTGCTTGAGTTTGCTATAGTTTTCCAATTTTGCCAACATCAGTTGTTAAAGGCTTTTGTTTCTCCACTTGGCTGATTTAATCTCCTTGTTAAAAATCCATTGACCACAGGCAGATAAGC